AATAAGGATTACAAACCGAAATTTCTACGTTAAAACAAAATCAAAAACAAGCAAATAACAGCTTTAAAATAATAACAAATAAAACCTTTTTATTTAAAAAATTAAAAAAATAGTAATTTTACCTATCATAATTTTACTAGACCCACCACACGTATATACGTGCATGCGAGGAAATATTATTCAGTGAAAAATAGACCTGATTGTTGACATGTATACATTCACCATTCACGAGAAATTTTCGCTACACTTCCAATCTTTGAATTTCAACATACAAATGCGTATGTATAGACACAACACCACCCATATACATACATATGTCAAATCCGAAACTGTCCACATATGTTTATATATGTATGAGTCCCGACAGACAAGCAAGTGTGTATGTTTGTCTGCGTACCTCATCTGATGTACGGACATGCATCTATGTTTGCGTTAGCATGAATGACATCACGACGACGATTCCTCCCACAATAACACCAATACACGCAATCTACATAAACCCAAATTTTTAAAAAAATTAATCAGACGATCGCAAAAGCGTGAAACCAGGGTCACAAACTCACATCAATCCAACCATATATATATATATATATATATATATATATATATATATATATAATTATAGATATATAGACTCGTTTTCGAAAAACCCTCGAATTTTTGATTTGCCAATAATCAAATCAATCTAAAAAATTTTTTAAAAAAGAAAGAGCTACAAACATGAACTTCTGTCGACAAAAAAAATCGCACAGATACAGGTTTGAAGCCCAAAAAAAAAAAAAGCCGATACGAGTTAACAACTAACTAACAAAAAGAGCTCAATACAACCGTAGAGCAGACCTAGATACACCTAGTGAGCCAGACAAACCTACCTAGGTTTCACCTAAACGGATCGTCAGCCTTACTTTCCCTGACGATCCGTTTATGAAACCTAGATAGGTTTGTCTTTGTCTAACTATAGGTGTATATATATATATATATATATATATATATATATATATATAATAATATATATATATATATATATATATAATAAAAATAATTGAAGACGACTGACAGGATAATGTGATTAAGATTTTTTAATTAATATTTCTTTTGTTCATATAATTGTTTTCTTTTCAGGATATAAATTGTGCCAAAATTGTCTAAATGTTCTGTACATCCAAGTGCTTTCTGCTATTATTTTAGCTATTACCGAGGATGATTCTTTTTTTTAAAACAGAATCTATGGATTTTAATGTAAGTATCTTATGTTATAGGAATGATTTTATTTTCCAGACCCGGACAGTACATTTTGGTCATGTCCATAGATGATAGTACTGAACGTTGGCTTTTTTTAAAAATTTTTAATGCTGCAGTTATCGTTAGTATTTTTTTTTTTTACGTGAATTAGGCTATTATCCTTTTTCGTAAGTTTCTGTATATATGTTTAAAATGGATTCTAATTGAGCTATGAAAAAGAGATTGCTGCACAGTACACACACACACACACACACACACATATATATATATATATATATGTGTGTGTGTGTGTGTATATATATTTTTTTCATGTCTAGTAATCTACGTCTGTTTATATTTATCAATCTGTCTATGTTCGTTTTTATTTTTTATCTATGTCAGTTCATTTATATCGTGTGGTCGGTACCTATTCAACTATTTTACTCGAATTAAATGTTTGCCATTTGTTTTTTTTTTTTTTATTTCTTCTGTCATGTTCTGAAATTTCTCTTGTATTAATTATCATACAGTTTAACCCGGATATAAGAGAGTTGTCAGGACCGGAGAAGAAGTATCTTATATCCGGGTTTCTCTTATATCCGGGTTTGGTCTATTTTATATACATTAATACAGGCTCTAATTTGGGACCAGAGTAAATCTCTCTAATATCCGGGTTTCTCTTATATCCGGGTTTCTCTTATATCCGGGTTACACTGTATTTTATTTTCGTTCTAATTGTTGGATTTGTTTTCCTGGAGTTTCTTTCTTTTCATTCATGATATTTAGCTTCATATGCTGAATATCAAATGCTGGAAACGGATGCTGGATGACTTCTTGACTCCAATTCACCGTATTGGAAATACCTGTTTATTTTGAAAATCGTCATTCGACTTCGTGTTTGCTCGGCTCGAACAGCGGATAATAGTTTCAATATATATATTTGTTAATTCTATCTTCTCTTTTGCCATGATATTCCTTTAATTTTCCTTCTATATTCCCCACCTTTTCTTTTTTTTTATTTGATGTCCATGCGAGATACTTAAGTAACGTTAATGTTTCAAGAGGGAGTTAGCCGAACCAAAGACAGCAGTATTAAACTCCCGTTTGGAAGTCAGTTCTCTGACCCACGTTCTGCTTTGATCTCTCCCGCCAAAAGAGTGGACCATTATGATTGATTGATATCTTGTTATATTGGACTCTGCCGACGAAGGCTGAAGGCAAGTCTATAGGTGCCGGCAATAAAGTCTGACTTTAAACATTTTTTCATCGTTTTTATTTCTTTTCTTTTTCCCCGTTTAAATTCACAACGGAACGTGTCTCTTGCTGTGTAACGATATATTATTTTAATCGCCTAAGCAATGAGTTTCATGATATAAAATACTTACCAGTTTTACGCTTTTTACAGATTGAAAAATCATTCAGGGCTGATTTGAGGCAAATTTGTGTTTTGGTTTGATGGCTACTGTGGGAAAATTTTTTTTTCCATCAGTATTTTAACGCAGAAAGATAATCACAAACTTTATATGTATCTATTTGACAAGGCACGCCAGCTTGAATTTATTGAATGCGTTTATGTGTGTAGACCCGTGCGTAAGCACACATATGTTTCTGAAACAGGGTATTGTAACTATTTACTGTTGTTTTCGTCTTTATTGTCATATTAACACAGTTTTGGCCGTTGTACACTCTGGCCTTCTTCAGTTGATATATGTTGGAATTTCGAACAACTTTGTTTAGCTTTAGATATAATAACATTTTTTTACACCTCAAAACATTCGGCAATCTTTACTCGCGGGTTCAGGGTAAAATTCACTGTGCGTGCTATCACGGCTCTGGTGATTTCCCCGCTACCTGTATATTGTTGAAACTAGAAAATAAACATGGCGCTAAATATTTTCTCTTCATCTGTGTCTATGACGATACTATTAACCTGAGATGTATTAATAGTTTAAAATCATTACTGCCAGTAATTTTCAAAAGAAATCAGAAAATATATTTTCTATTTACATTATTTAGACTATTGTTCTCATCTTTGCTGCCATATTTATCACAACGATTCGGCCGTTGAAGGCTCCGGCCTTCTTCATATGTTTGGAATGTCGACCTGAACCCTTTACTTCGCTCACTATGGTAGACTGTTCTAGTTCCACGTGTCATGTCTAATGGATGTCAGTTATCAGTTATCTCCTGTTAATTCCCCTCTCCAAGTTCTCAAATGCCTTAACCAGGAATTGAAATCACAACTTTTTGGTTCCTGTCACTGGATCTAACCAACGCCTTTATCCACTGTGCCATGTGTCCTTAAGGCATAAAGATGTGGTCAAGAGTCCGAATAGTGTAAAACTGTACATAATATCTCAGAAATATAGAAATATATTTTCTGTTTTATCAGAAATGTTACATTGTAAAAATCTTTATACAAATGTACGTTCGGCCTTATTTTAGAAAATATTTACAATTAAAAACAAAAAAAAATATAATTCTAATTCAAAAAACAATGTTTATGTTCATTTTCTGCAGGGAAGTGATATAAAACAACATAGAATTAGGATTCTTTAAATCTTAATATTTGCCTTAAATTTTACAATCTGTTTCGTTTTGTTACAACCTAATTAGGTATTACTGAAAATTATATGGAAAAATATAGAGCGTATTTACGATACATGCGTAATATTTCGAAACGTCGAAATTTAACTAAAAAATCCTAAAGAAAAAAACATATTTCGTTCGTCTTCAATCAAAATTTTAAATATATATAAATGTATATTTTTATCACTTTAAACGCAATTTTCATCGATTCCCGTATTTTGCCTTAAATGTTTCGTTTATTTTTTAAAGAGTATATTTATTTTCGTTTCCTGGACTGAATATTTGAGAGATCCAGGGTTCGAACTTGAGTCCCAATTCGCAAGAGAAACGGGTTTGTTAAAGCCTCGACCACGAAGACATACTATGGTATTATACTGCTCTATACAGCTTTACTCGACGACGTTCTTCGTGAATGAGTCGGTTAAAAGTACGTATGACCTAACGACAGTTTCTCCTATAAAGGGGGACTCAGGTTTGAAATCCCGCCGGAAGGCGCATATAGTCTTTAACAAGTTTTCTTGAATATTCAGGCCAGCGGACGAAAGCAAATACGCTGTTTCTAAAAAGAAAACAAAAACAAAAAAGAAACGTCTATTCAAATATGTGTATCCACTAAATATAACGTTTAAAGTGATAAAAATATGCCCGATTAAGAAATAAAAAATATCCATTACGTCCTTAGTAATAAATGTGTGTGTACGCGTGTGTGCGCATAGCTTTTAAACGCGCGCTTTTTCGACACACCTTGGGTGTTCTTGAGAGTAAAATTTGCTGAGAAATTAGAACATCATCGCTAGTGATAGTTGATACCAGAATCCAAGACACCTCGAAGAAAAATAACTTTATGTGAAGTTTAATTCAACCTGAAATATGCTATAAACCTCAACCAAAGTTTTGCCTGATGATATATATATATATATATATATATATATATATATATATATATATATATATATATACCCTTACTATTCGCCACCTCTCTTTCTTTCATTTCATTCTTTCCAGTTTTGTATTTGTTTCTTTTCGTGACTACTTTTCATCACTTCTTTCGCTTTGATTCTCCGTCTTTCTTTTTTTATTTCTCTTTCACATAAACGTTTCCTCTCTTCGCTCAATAACTTTCCTTCTCTTTTCTCTGTTAATCCATTTTCACCTATTTTTTTTTATTCCGCGCTCTTTCTGTCCTTTTCATGTTTTCTTCCATTATGACTTTCTCTTTTATCCGTTTGCTTTTCTCTTCAATGCATTGTTTCTTTCCTCGTCTCTTCATTCTGTTTTTATATACCGCTCATGTTTCTCTTCTCCTCTTCTTTCTTCTATATTTCACCTTTCATTTCTCTGTGTTTATCATTTTGTATGTCATCTATTTCTTTGTCTTCCTCTTAGTTCTCCTTTTCTCTTCATCTCTATCCATTACTTCGTTTTCTATTTTACTCTCGCTTTTCTTTTTTCATTCTCCTTTATTTACTCTTTCCTCTCCTTATTTCTATTCGGTTCTCTCCTCTCCTTTTCTTTACTCAGCTTCACTAACCTTCATTTAACTACTATCTTTTTCATGCTCACCCTTTTTTCTTCCTTTCTTTTTGTTTTTTAGTTTTTTTCATTCTTTTTAATTGATTATATTTACATAGTCACATCCACAGATACGCGATATCTAAGGTTTAAAATGATTTTTTTACAATACAAAATCTTTCGTTAACCTTTTATTTTAGTTTTAATTTCAAGCTAATAGAATAATTTTAATATTTTCAATAAGCAAAATACATTTTCTGTATTTCAAACTAATTTAAATTGACTGCAAGAATTTTAGTTTTGAAACATTTAGTGCATTAAAAAGTTTACTAAATGTTCCGTCATGGCAATGTAATACTCTTTATTAAAAGTCTTTCAAAATAAAATATACTTTTCTGACACTCATTTTGGGTAAGATTAGCCGATTGAAGTTTTAATTAATCTAATTTGAAGCTAACATTACTTACATTAAGTTTAACATATAGTAGAAACGCATTTTTAGCACAGGAGTAGGTGTTTATTTAAGGTATTGACAACTTGACTGACAGACAGAAGTTAAGTATTGAAGAATATGACGTGAGCGTTTTTATATAATTTTTAAATATCCAGCAATCTTAAAACAAAACTATCTCACTCAGTACAAATCTATCTATCTATCTATCTATCTATCTATCTATCTATCTATCTATCTATCTATCTCGACATTTCTATCTTTCTTGTTTGTTTCTTTCAGTCTTGTCATTTGTTTTTTCTCAGTTCACATATTATTGGCGTTTTTCTCCGCATTAAATGGTTAATGTTGGTTTAGAAGTTCATGAAAGATGACACATTTCTTATCTCATCAAGCACAAAGCATTATGGTTCTAGTTTAATCATAGCTTGCGGATGGATTCCTGTTTTCAGTGGGTGCTAACCATTGTTAGTAATTTGAACATTCTTAGTGTCCCACTTACATTAATTCTAGTCTGTTTGACTAATAGCCGAGGGATGTTTCGAGTAGCCAGTTTAAATATCAAATAAACATTCATTTGAACATACCATTGCTTAAATTTATTAAAATATCTTGGCACAACCTAAAATGTGTACCACTACATCATCCGGAGTATGGCACCAATTGGTATATTATTTAAGGTCCAGAGGTTCGTTTCTAATCGGCGCCCATCGGAAAATCTAGCCCCGTGGTGATAAGTCTAACGTGTGTTAAGTAAGTACAGAGTTACACTGCTAGAAAATGAATTGTAGCCTAACACTCATCGCCGTTGCGGATGAAGACAACTTAGCTCTGAGTATGCACTATCAAAATCGAGCCACACTCGCAAATTTGCCAACACGAGCAAAGATTTTTTTTCTGTTTACTGTCTCAGTGTTATCATTGGAATGAAATATGGGTTTCTAGTGCTGCAACACTGTGTCTTTCAAGCCCACCATTTTCCATGTACGAACTTCCTTTTCTCTCTCGCAGTTAAATAAAATTGATTTACTAGATCCACACGTGTAGCACAAGTTAAAGGATTACAGGAATAATTAATTGTTTGTTTTTAGTTGGCGATCTTGATACTGTTGAGGTAAATTTTCTTTACTTTCTTGCACACACAGACACACATTGGCACACAAACATAGGGAGGAGAGAGTGAAAGAACTCCCCCCAAATGTGTTTTACAAATGTATATATATATATATATATATATATATATGCACACACAAAAGAAAACAAATATATTTCTGTAATATATATATATATATATATGTGTGTGTGCTTATGTGCGTGTATATATATATATATATATATATATATATATATATATATATATATATGTGTGTGTAGTAGATATAAATATAGAGATAGATTGAAAGAGAGAAAGAGGGAGAGAGGGAAAGATCACTCACAAGCATATATATATATATATATATATATATATATATATATATATATATATATATATATATATAATACAATTTCGTTCAAAGAACAACGAAAGTTCATTGTTAAAGAATTTTTTACTTAATTTCTAAAATTTCAGACCAAACATTAGACAATTTACATCAAATATATACGCGAAACCTAGATCAGAAAAGTATATATATATATATATTTGATTTTTTAAAAAAAGTAAATGCTAAGAACTGTGTATTCTAAATCTCTCTTTTCCTTCTCTTTCTTACGATATATAAATATACACACACACACATATATATATATATATATATATATATATATATATATATATATATATATATATATATATATATATATATGTGTGTGTGTGTGTGTGTTTGTGTGTGTGTGTGTGTGTGTGAGTAGATATAATTATCTTGTATAAACGAAAATTTACTAACCCTAGAAAACATTTAATAATTTGGGTTATAAAATACCATTCTTTATTTCCTTAGATGTTACTATGTATAAAATTCGGGCGCGAATATATACCTAGCACTTCCAGAATTTCGTGCCGATACGAGTTTTCGAGAAGGAGAAAGGCGTCTTCCTTAAAAGGGTAATTGAACCTTCCTTGCCTTTAAAGCTCAGTGGCAGAGTGTTATTAAACACGACGGACAATGGTTTCTCTTACAACGGAGAAGCTGCTACGAACAAGGCCAACGGGCACGTTTTCTTTTATTAAGATTCTCGAAGCTATTGGCCAAAAGATGTAATTCACACTGTTTAAAATGTGGGCGTCTCCTGAGACGTGCGTACCCACTGAAATATATTCCTTTAATATATATATATATATATATATATATATATATATATATATATATATATATATATATATAGTCGACTCTCCTGTTGATTTCGACGTATGAGGGCCAAGCAGATCAGTTCCCAGGAAACCGACAGCCCGACAACGGCACATGAGATTTGATTATAGTGGTGAAGGTTTCGTGCAGGGCCATCCACACTTTTTGAAGGAGCGAATACAGAGACCTGGTGCACTAAGTGCCAAAAGGTCCCCAAACGACCCTGCGCAGGTTTTGAATTCAGAGTTGTCCTTCTTCTAGACCAGTTGCCATCCAAAGCTATAGAACCAAGTCTGTCCTGCTATTTTACCCATAGCAGGAGGGAGAAGAAGAGGATTCACACCTTTCCCAAGGGTATTAGCACGTGAGTGAATATAATGGATTCGACTGGAATTCTAACTCGGCTCTGCGATTCCTCAATATATATATATATATATATATATATATATATATATATATATATATATATATATATATATATATATATATATAATCTATGTAATCCATGCCATGGAAACATTCTACTACCTAACAGCAAAAAATATATAAACGTATCTTAAATTAACAAATGATCAAAAAAGAATTCCTAAATTTAGAGCCAAATTGCCAACTTCAACCTAAATTTGTGGTCTTTACAAAGAAGGCCGAAATTGAAATTCTACACCAATCACTATCCCAACTCAAAGCACGTGTAGACGTAGCAATTTGCGCAGATCTGAGAGATCTCTCAACGCCGAAGGTTTGAAAAAGGACTCCACTCGCAACCTAAAATGTTATCCTGCAAAAGAACTAATAAAACAGTCCTAACATTTTCATCAGACGAAGCGACAATGCTAATTCATATGTAATTTTGGATAAATTCGATTACCATAAAAAATTTCAAATCATCATCGATGACCGAACTAAATTCACCAAACTAAGCGGAAACCCCACGGAGATCGTAAAAATGTCGTTCAACAAACACATAACATCGAATAACGCAAATATCCGTTCCCTGAAAATCGAAAAAAAACATCGGAGTTTACCAACCTGTATACATATATAGAAATATAAAAACGCACAAACCCGGTTACCCAGTATGACCAATCATTTCTCTGATACCAACCACTATCTACGAGATATCAAAATTACTTAATGACATCATTACCCCATACCTACCCACCAATTACAGCATCACATCCACCCATGAATTCCTCCAAATTCTATAAAGTATAAAACCAACCCAAGGCATCTTAGCGTCACTTACGTTTAAAAATCATTCCCAAACGTCCTCGTCGATCAAATCATTGACATTACCCTCAACTCTGGGTACACAAATAATTCTACCCCATCTTCATCCATCAAACCAAATATTCTAAAAAAAATTACATGCATGCACAGCCAAAGTCCCCTTCTACGACCATAATGGCAAAAGTAACACACCCAATTCATGGTGTCAGTATGGGAAATCCGCTCGATCCTTGCTTCTCAAATTATTACATGTCCCATGTAGAAAACATGATATTTAAACAGATCTGTAAACATACATTATATGTCCGCTACCTAGATGATATTTTTATTTTAGCTAAAAACACAAAAAAAGATACTCTCAAAAGCACATTCGAAAAAGACTCTGTCCTTAACTTTACCTACGAATTTCGCAAAAAAATAAACTCCCATTCTTGAACGATCTCGTAGAATGCAGTAATGTGACGTCGTCCCCCGGTCGCAGCGCCAACTGTGACGTTCTATCCTGATCTACCACGGCGCAAGTTGTGACGTGGTCGTTCCAGGGTCCTATCCCGGTCACGACACCAGTTGTGACGTCCCTAAACAGCACCAGTTGTGACGTCTTCGCCGCGGCGCCAGCTGTTCGCTCCTCACTGCTCCGTCCGGGTGTCGCTGTGATGTTCTAACCTTTTGGTGATTCGGGTAGGAATCTGGTTAGATTTGATATCAGCCTCGTCGTCCCCAACTCGCTTCCAACGCCTGGTTACCAGGGTAACTGCACTGATCTCCAGTCTGCCTACCCACGTTGTGAATTGATCTTAGACAGACGAGATCAAACAGGGCTGGGGCCGTAATGCAAGCTGAGTTCAACGGGGGTGATAACACACAAATATGCATAAAAGAAAATAAAATGAAAACTCCCAAAGTTCAAAGTATCAAAGAAAAAAGGTAACAAACTTTTTATGTCTAGTTGTTCGGTACATAGGACTGTGTCTACCTTCCGACCCGTTCTGTGGATTTGGCACGACGCTTTGCTAGGCAAATTTTAACGCTTCAAGTTGTTCGTTTCTAAGAAATTTGTGTTTCGGTGTGTCTTTGGACGAAAGCCGAAAAACTTATTTCTGTGGTCTGGTTCTAAGTCGCTCTTCAAACTAAATGTTTTTGGTTGAAGAAGAGTCCAAAATTGTGCGTGAATCTTGGTCAGCTATCTTGAGGCGGCTTGAACTTCTGGGCACTCATCTCTGTCGTCGGTGCGCGAACTCCTCTGCCTGCCAGAGTCCGACGAACTGGCCTCTTCTGCCCGCTAGGGGCGAACGAACTACTGGGCACTCATCTCTGCCGTCGGGGCGCGAACTCTTCTCTCCAGCCTGGGTCGAACGAACTCGGCACTCAGGGCCAAACGAACTGGCCTCTTCTGCCGTCCGGGGCTGAACTGATTTCTGTCTGGTGGGGCTTCGTTTATATTGACGCCGTCAAAACCGGGGTGGGTCTGTCGGCGCCAGGGGTTCTTCGATAATTCTAAATACATATCCACCCTTCTTATTTCTGGTTAGGGATTTTCCACTCTTTTCCATTTTTGGTAACTCTTTCCTCACTCCCACTTTCTCACCATGCTTCTGAGGGGGCGTGAACTGCCCTCCCCACTTCTTCGTAGCGGCTTCTCATACTTATACTCTGGATAGGGGCGTCAACTGATTTTCTTCGTGCGTCACGTGACCACTCTCGACCAATGAGGTCCTGGTCGGGTATCTTTTTCCTCCTTCGTGCGTCATGTGATCCACTTGGCCAATGACGTCTTAGTCGGGCGTGAACAACCCGTGGCTTTGTTTTGGAAAAGAAATACGTTGCTTAACTAAAAAAAAATTAATTAAATCGCCGTTATCATGAACGGATAATATGACAACTCTTTGTTCAACACGTGGCGTTTGTCAAGCAGTTTATCGCCAATTCACTGGACAGCTGGATTATCTGACATGGTCTAAGAAAGGAATTGTCTCCAAGTTTGTCGCCAATTTGGCGTCTCCCAAAGCAGAAATAAAAATATGTCAGTTTCCTTCGGCTCATGTTTTGATAACAAAATTTTTATTATAGCAGAGCAAAAGTCTATTCTGTCAAAAGAAAAAACTTAGCCAGTGAAACTACTTGAGTGGGATTTTAATTTTCCATACCCAGCCAAGACTGCCTGTATTTCGTCAATTATCAAAACCTAACGTTCAAAAATGGATTTCTTCTTTGGTGACATCTCTTGATAACACAATTCCATTTTTCGCGGATAAGCGGAAATCGGTCAACGCTTGTTCGCAGGTGACCTAGATATTTTCTCGTACACCTCCTCGCCCACTCAATCTCATTGTCATTGAAATGAAATTCTTTTCGACATTTGATACCTATCAAAAATAACCCTTTTCTTTCTTATTCCCGTCTCTTAAGCCGTTTGTGTGTGTGTTCGCCTATGACCCGTCTCGTATTACTTTTTCTTTCTTTTTCTTTTCTACGTTTTCTCTTTCTTTCTTCCAAA